CTGGAAACAAGTTGCAGACATGAATATGTGTAGAAGAAATGCAGGTAACTGCTATTTGGGTTCTGTCTGTATCTTAATTGGCTTCATGTGAGTGTATTTAATGGTAGGGTGTGAACACGGTTACAGTGCATAACTTAGAGTGTGCAGGCTCCTGTAATGAAGAAAAGACAGAGGCTGAGGGGTGTAAGTAGATTATTGGTTTGGAAACAAGTTGCAGACATGAATATGTGTAGAAGAAATGCAGGTAACTGCTATTTGGGTTCTGTCTGTATCTTAATTGGCTTCATGTGAGTGTATTTAATGGTAGGGTGTGAACACGGTTACAGTGCATAACTTAGAGTGTGCAGGCTCCTGTAATGAAGAAAAGACAGAGGCTGAGGGGTGTAAGTAGATTATTGGTTGTAGAACAGTGGTTCTCAACCAGAGCTGTGGGATGCCCGGGAGGCCACAAGCAGGTTTCAGGGGATCTGCCAAGCAGGGGCCCAGGGCAGAAAGCTGAAGCTGGGACACATAGGGGCGTAGCCTGGGGTCCGAGTCCCACCACCCAAGGGTGGAATTGGACCCAGCCTGACCCAATTTAACTTCATGGGCCTACCTGTGACATGAAGTTCTGGGCAGTTGCCCTGCTTGCTACCCACAAATGCTGATCCTGGGTCATTTATGCAGGAAAAACAGCCGGTGTGACACAAGTGGGCCGTGGAGTTTGTGTGGGATGTTGGAGGCTCCCAGAAAGAAAAAGTTTGCAACCCTCTGATCTAGCGTTTAACAGTATGCCCGTTTTATTCATAGGTGTGTGTGCTGTGAACGGGCTACTCTATGTGGTGGGAGGAGATGATGGTTCTTGCAATTTGGCCTCTGTGGAATATTATAATCCCGTCACTGATAAGTGGACGTTACTGCCGACCAATATGAGCACTGGAAGAAGTTATGCAGGTAATAAGTGAGTAGAAGAGGTGGGAACAGAACCCAGATGTGCTTTCTGTGCATAGCTGTCTCTAGCAGGTCAAGGAGTGTATAGTCCAGGGCTACTCAATACGCAGGTCACTTGTGGCTCGCGGCCCGTTGGTTTGCAGCCCGTGGTGCGATTTGCGGCTTACAGTGCAGTTTGGGTTGATAGGCGTTTTAGTAGTTAAATGCCTGAACTGTTGTGAAGCAAAACCAAAAAAGTAATCAATAGAATGGTCTTCTGTTGAGATGCGTTCTAGTAGTTAAATTCCTGGACTATCATTTCTCATTAAAAGTGCTGTCATATGGGTGGAAATCGGGTAAATATTGCATTTTATTAATATCAGCGGAACTGACTTCAATGGGGCCTGCGTGTTGTGTAGTCCTGCCTTAATCTTTGTATTCCTGCCAATCAGTGTGAAAGAAGCTATTTGCATATATATTTGCATGTATATGCAACCCCATTTAAGTTGTGGCCCTTGTCGTGTGCTGTAAGTATCATTGTCGCCCCAAAAGCTTCCAAAGTTGAGTAGCCCTGGTACAGTCCTTAACCTGATGATTATGCCTCCTGGTCATGTGGGGTTTTTTTCTTTTTTTGCTCCTCATGACCTCTGTTTGGAGAGGATCTCTTCAGAACTGGGAACGGCAACTTTCTTTGCACCCTTTACTGCTGGTCTTAAGTTCGGCAGCATGTGCCTGTCTCAGCACAACCCTGAAGTTGTTGGGCAGTTTGTGACCTCTGTTTGTCCATTCTCACAACAGGGGTGGCTGTGATTCATAAACCGTTGTGACACCTACTCCAGCCAATGTGAGGAGCAGCAGTGAGGTGAATCCTATTGGGTATTCTCGAGAAGATGCCGGACGCCTGATTTTATCCATCTCTTTGCTGTTTAACTCCTTGCCTGGCAAATACTGCATTAAGAATCCTCTTCCGTGGATAACGCAACAACGTGCCAATCCCAAGGTGTTGCTTGTTGTCCTTGGTGCAATCCGTTGTCTTTGGACAGCCAGTTTCCTGGAAGAACACTGTGTTTAAACAGTTACCAGAGAGACTGAATTTCATGTGTGTCACAAAATGCGACTGTAGGGAATGTGAGTAAAACCCAATATTGAATGTCTTCACTACTGATGCTTTGTTCACACCTTGAATTAAGCTATTTACTCACTGCTCCTGGAACTTACTACTGACCATGGCATCTTCTAACCACCAATCTTCAGAAATACTGGACCAGGGTGCTGGCTTGTGTTTGACATTATCTCAGTCACGTGTACATATGTCACTGGATAACAGTTTGTATCCCTAGCGCCATCATGACTGGAGATATCCGTTGTGTGTGATTTTTCTGATAGTCTGCTTTTATAAACAGGCTAGGATGTCCTGGGTGGGCAGTGGCTTGCCCAGAAAAAGGTGAATACCTCACCATGCAAAAGTTTTATAATCCCACAGAAACATGCTGCTCTGGAGGAGCATATTGCTCCCATAAAACATACACTGAACTGAAAATCAAGGAAAAAAGTCATACCCCGGTGTCCTGCACATTAAGGAACAGAACTTTTAAGCATAATGGTGTGTCTTGCTGAGCCACTAACATGTCTCCCTTGTATCCTGCCAAATAATCCTCCATCACCCAAGAAGTGATTAAAGACCAAGATAAAATGCCTATGATGTCTTAACGCTTCCAGAAGAGGGGACTCTTATTCTTCAGTGTCATTGTTCTTGTTTTTAAAACGTTTTCTGCATTAAATGCTTTCTTCCATCCATACAAAGTAGTTAGCCGGAGCTTTAGAAAAGCCTTCCAAAAAGGATTTTAAACAGTGAAAGTTTGGCGCTGCTGTCACTTTTAGTAATCTCGTGTGTATCCACAGTCCTGCTAGCTTGTTTTCTCCTTTTTAAAAGAATGGTGTCAGCTTTCAAATCATGTGTGAGACTCCCAGCATACCCTACTGCGGGGCATCATGGCACCCTTCTGGGTATCCGCTAGTTAAAAGTAATACCAAAGGAGACTACAAATGAAAAATAGAGTGTGTGGGGGAGGAGAGAGAAATAATTATTATTATTTCATCTCACTTAACTTGGTGCGTTTTACAGGACTTTTGATAGATTCAGTTTACCCTAATCGAGTCAGTGAGAGCTTTCCTGTACAGGGACATTGACCTGCAGAATTACAGCGGTATTACTATTCTTAGGGTATAACTCCCAAAGCGGACTCATACCCTTTAAGATCAGAAAGGACAATCATGATTAACTAGTGACCCTCTGCACATTGGCAGACCACAGAACCTCAGCCTCTCACTTGCTTTTGGAATAAAAGTGACTTTTCCCACTGCGGCTTACGTTGCTTCGGAAGCAATTTAAGTGATCCTGAAGACGTTCCTTGCATTCTGGAATACAGTACTCACTTCAGGAGTTCTACCATTGCAGTTGTATTGGAATATTTATAGTGCAGTAATTCTGCTCATCAGTGTTCCCATGTAGACAAGCTCTCAGTATCTCCTTGCTCAAAAAGCTCTCCGTGTCATCCTTGTTCTTAGAAACAACAACAAGGAGTAGAAAAACCCATTCAAACTGTTCTTAAAGGAATATAAAAATAAGTTACAATGTGCTGATTTCAAGGGGAGACTGACCAGGAAGCAGAATATTTTAAAAGGCAGGGCTTGTCTACATGGAGACTTAGTGCAGGTAGCAAGCTGGGATGTAAATCTACAGTGCACTAGGGACTGTGACATCAATGTACACTACGGAGCTCTTTGTGATAGAGGGTTTGCTGGGCCTGTTAGTGCCCAGCAAGTTAGTGCACTGTAGATTATCGCGTTAAGTTTCTGTATAGACATGCTAAAATTGACTTAAAAATGCAAGTTGACAATGTCCCTTTAACTGGACATAAGCTCGTGCGTTGTGCACCATCTCTAGGACATGTTAAGTAGCATCACTCATTCTGTGTTTTGAAGTGAACTGTCCACTGTAATGATAATCCAGATATTGGAGAGAGAAGATGGTGAGGCAATGTCATTTAATGGACCAACATCTGTTGGCGAGAGACACAAGCTTATAAGTTTCACAGGGTTCTTTTTCAGGTCTGGGAAAAGTACTCTGTGCTTCAGAGCTGTGTGCACGGTAGATTGTTTGGCATCAGTAGATAGCACATATTCACAATGGCTACAACTACACTGCATACAGTATTGATATTGGCAGCTGGAGTGTTGTGGGTCGAATGAGGAGGGTTCTGGATAGAAGGAATAAGGTGCCATGAACCCTCTCCTTCACCCTCACTCCATGCTCTACAGTCTAAATTGCTGAAAAAAAAGTCAGTGAAATGAGTTTAAAAAAAAAAAAAAGATGGTTCTGCTAGCTGTTGGTTCATTATTGTGTGTTGTCTCCATAACTACTCGCCAGGAATCTGATGTAAAGGCCAGAATGAGTTAAAAAAAAAAAAAAAAAAAAAAAAGCTGGTTCTGCTAGCTGATGGGTCATTATTGTGTGTTGTCTCCATAACTACTCGCCAGGAATCTGATGTAAAGGCCACTGAAGTTGATGGGAATCTTTCCATGGACATCACCGGGCTTTGGGTCAGGCTCTGGGAGGCATAGCTACCTCCAACAAATGAGCTTCTGTTACACTTGAGCGAACCATCAGCATTTCATCCCCCAAGTTTCACTTCAGCTGTGAGTAGTCTGTCCAATGCTGCACAGAGGCTACATCTACACTACGAGTTTTCTCTGCAAAAAATATGCAAACGTGGGACTCATGTGCGTGAGTTGTGATCTCATTTGCATATTTTCTGCTGATCTGTTTTTGTGCAAAAACAGGCAGCGTGGATGGGGTTTTTTTGCGCAAAAACACCTTTTTCCGCAAGATCGATAAACCTTTTTTGGGGCATAGGGATCTTGGAGAAAAGGGGTTTTGCGCAAAAAGAAAACGTCCACGCTGCTTGTTTTTTCGCAAAAACCCCAGTGCAAAAACAGATTGGCAGAAAATATGCAAATGAGTCACGCATTTGCATATTTTTTGCCTAGAAAACTTGTAGTGTAGATATAGCCAGGATGAGGTTATTCCTAAATTAACTCAATAGACTATGGCAGTGCACTTTTGAGTAGTTCTAAAACATCTCACTGGTGGTTATAATATACAGGATGAAAGGTTTATTGTCTTTACCTGAGAGGTGCACTCACCTTTTTGGACAATGGGTTTTGGTGGCTTATTGCTATTCTAAAGTGGCTTTTATGCATACACATGGCCTGGGGAAAACCACTAGTGCATACTGGACGTAGCTAGGAACCTGAGAGTTGGTCAGGGATCATTAATTGTGTTTTTGTCTCCAAAGCCATTTCTTATCGCTTGGAAATGGCATGCATCTTTCCTTCCTTCTCCAACATTGCAGCATTATGCAAGTCAAGTGACCTCGTTTTTCAGCTATGCAAATATGGACATCTGTAACACACAACAAGCCACTTGTAATATCGCCTAAAAATGCTTTTGAAGTTGTCTTATTGGACGTGTGATTTACTGTTTATATTAATTCTGAGCACCTGAGCCAGATCCTTTCAAATGTTGCCTTTTTTTAGGATGGAAACTGTAGCTTTAGTGCTAACGAATTGTAATGTAAATATTTTTATAAGATAATTTTTAAGAATTTTTGGATTATTTTTTATTGTCCTTGATGACGTTCTGTTCCATTCTGTATCAAGTTCTTACACTCTCATGCTGTTTTTGCCAGCCACGGTGTGGGCGTGAATTGGAACATTTTCTGCACAGGAAATGGCAGCACTGTAACAAAGGTGGGATAAATTATTTTTCTCTCGTGTTAATTCTAACACATTAAAAGGCTACTGCTAAATTCAGCATTATGAATTTTAAATTATTTTGTTACCTCAGTTGCTAAGAACAACATCTTAGGTTATTAGATTTAAAAAAAAGGAATTGTAAATGTCTAATTAAACTTTCTCCTGTTGATTTATTCTTTGACATTCACTCACCTCTGACAGTGAAACCAGGCTGACTGTAGTAAGTTTCATTTTCAGGCTCTGCCCTGTGAACTGTGTTGCAGCTAGATGGGTTGTAATATAGGGAGATTGGTTTTGAGCCCAAACCTAATAATGAAAGCAAATCTGGTAAGTGCACGACGTTTTGCAAGGTCCTTTTTATTCCTTTCCAGGTGAAAATGTTGGGCCGTAACTTCCTCATAATGTTCCTTCTTGACTGTCTAGTAAATTCATGGCCCACTCCTAAGCGCAGATTTCTTTGCAGGATCAAGACCGTAGGCCTGGTCTACACCTTAAGTTAACCTAGCTGCGTTGCTCAAGGGCATGAAAATTTCATACCCCTCAGAAATGTTGTTAAGCCACCCTAAACCCTGATATGCACACTGCTCCGTCAATGGAAGGATTCTTCTTTCGCCCTAGTACTGCCTCTTAAGGTGTGGACTTACTACAGTGCCAGGAAAGCTCCTTCTATGACTTGTGCCGCTATCACGCTTGTAGTTTACATGTACCCTTTGATTCCGTAAGGGTGGCTCATAAGGTCCCAGTTCAAGAGGGAGCTTTCTTTGGAAGAAGGATGTATACACACAGCCTAAAATCTTTTCCTGCAAGCTTGTTGAGACGTTACACAAGACTGTGCTTCTAAAGCTGATGAACAAATGCAAAGTCTCCTCCAACATTATTAGTTACCTCAAGTTTTTGGTTGTTTTTTCAAGTGAATTTTGAATCAGCGCCTTATTTTCCATATTGGGTCCAACAGGTAATTTGTGACCAAAGCCAGTTTTTTGTTCACTTCTTTTATCTAGGTGTTTTTTTCTATGTAGATTTGTAAAGCTCTGTAAAGACACTTGGCAACATTGTGTGAAAATGCAATGCATATGGCGTCCTTGTGCTATTTTGAAGACCAAGATAAACTATCCAGCAATCTGTGATGCCTGCTGATCAGACAGTAGCAATGGTTCAACAGCATGCTCCATTTTGTGGCTTTAAACTTTGGGAGGATTAGTGTCTAACATTAAGGCAGTTACACCATTCATTTTAAGAGACATACAAAATGGGATGGGTGCATAAATCTTATCCATGGTAGAATAATGTTGCTCAAAACTCCAGTGTTTGAAAATATGTATTGTAGTGTGGAAGTAAGCTAAACAAATTAATTAATCTTTTGTTCTTTTTTTGCTATCAGATAAATTATTTTATTTCTCTCTACAGTGGCAAAAAAGTAAAACAGAAGATTTAATTTGTATATTTTAGGTGTAAAAAAGCTTAAGAATAATGGGAGAGTGTGAAAGTGTTTACCTGGCTGCAGAGATGTTTTTGTAAAACAGATTGTTGGCATAATGGCTGATACAATGACACAGTCCATTGGTTGACTTCTTAAACCTGTCACTTTTTGCATAGGTGTCAAGGACCAAATCTCTTGTGAAGTAATTCACTTGGCAGATGTTTTATCCATTTTGGCAAACGACTTGAGAAATGGTCATCATAGAAATACAAAATCAACAGGAAATTGCATTATAGTTTCCAATACATTTTGCTTTAATTTGAATAAAAATTAACGTATGCAATTCCTCTTGGTCAATTTGGTTTGTTCAGCTCCTGAACGTAGTTGCATTGATGTGCAGGGATGGGATTTTTTTTTTAATGCAGCAAATATAGGCCCTGATCTCACAGCTTGACCCATACAAGAGGACTCTTGCTTCATCTGGAGCTCCATTACAGGATAAGGGTCACAGTTTGATTAAAAACTAAATTGCTGTGGCTACTGCCAAGAGTCCTGGAAACCAAACGAAGACTCCCATAGGATTCTCTCTACAGTCAACATAACTGAATTTAAAAGAGAAATAATTTTACAAATGTTATTTCTATTGTGTTTTACATGGCTCGTGTGGAAGCATCCTCCTCTAAGAATAACGAGGAAAAATTTGAAAACATGTAACAGGGTCTGAATGATCTGCTTGTTTCTTGCAGCATTGCCATGTTGTCAGTAGTCACTGCCATAGATCTGAAGCCTCCATGTCTCAAGTTGGTTGGAGTAGAGATTGCTCTGAGATCCTCTATTGTTGTCATGTCAGCTTACACCAGGGTGAGGGTCATGCTCCTTCAGATATATGTGCCAAGCTGCTGGTAGGCCACAAGGCTGAAGGTGGTTCAGCTGCACTGAAGGAAGGATAGGCGTAGGCAACCCTCTCACGCTGTATGTCCTGACGCCTGGATTTGGCTTTTCCTGCTCTGGGAGAATTGTAGGCAATCTCTTCAGGGACTGTCTTAGGCCTGGTCTTTACTCCAGGGAAGATCGATGATGCTGCAATCGATCTTCCAGAGTTTGATTTAGCGAGTCTACATAAGACTCACTGAATCAAACTAGAGGGCGCTCTCATCCACCTCTCCTGCGGACATGGTGCCAAGCTTGGCTTAAGTTGTGTACCTTAAGCTGAGTTTCTGGGTCTAGTATAGACTTGGCCTTATTTATTTTCAGGCACAGTTTGGTAATTACCTGAGAGGCACCAATAGCTCTTGCGCCTCCATTTTTACCTAAAAAAGGAAAATGTTCTGACTGCATCACAGCACTTGGATCATGGGCCTGGCTTGTGATCACGTTGAACATTCTAGCAGTTGGTCTCTCTGGAATTGGTCGTGCCAATTTTCTTCCACAGTTTGATCTGAGGAAGTGGGTCTGGCCCACAAAAGCTCATCACCTAATAAACCATCTTGTTAGTCTTTAAAGTGCTACATAGTCCTGTTTTTTGTTTCAGCTAGACCAGACTAACACGGCTACTTATCTATTACTATTCTCTAGAAGATCATGGTTTTGAAGTACCTTAGGCAGGCCTGTTTTGAATTTGTTCTATCAAGGAATCCAATCCCCTTATTTTTTTTAATGCAGTTTCATGGGCTGTCTATGGAGGATATCTCCACACTTTCACCAATTTCCTTTCTTCCTCCTTAGGGGCCCATGATCACTGAGTTTCCATTCTACTGAGGAGGAATGGCTGGGATTACCCTTTGAAACCTATCATTGCAACCCGCAGTCTGGCCAGAGGATTTTGTGCAGCATTAAGTGTTCAAAATCTGTGTTCTCTCTCTCTCTCTCCAGTTATGGTACCTCTGTCATAGCAAGCTCCTCTTAGAGTGGGTCAGACTGAGATATCACTGACCATTAACCCCTGGAGCAGTGTCCTGCAAAAATTCTGATTTAAATCAAACGCATAATCATTTAATTTGAACTGTGTGTTTTAGACTAGACTGAGGATTAGACCAACCATCCCCTCTCCCCCTTTTCAGTGCTACAGTAATTTGAATCCACTTCCTGGGAGAGAGTGCTTGATAACCATTTTCCGAGA